CGCAGTGCTGCAGAGCTGTGCCGCTGTCGTGACGTTCACGATGTAACGGCCGAGGTCCTCCTCCAGGTAGTTCTTGAGGATCTGGCATGTGTCCTGGGGGAAAGGGGGCATCAGGGGCATATTGAGGGGGTATCAGGGAGAGAAGCACCCCAGATGGAGATGACACCCCAGCCTCAAAGTCCCCCTCTGAGAGGCACGTGACCCCTCCACCCATCATCTACCTCCTCAGGGGCATGCCGACTCCAAACCTACCCGGTTTTTGGTGAAGTCTGCGTCGCCCCAGAAAATGGCACCAGCTGCACCCAGTGCTGCACTCTCTCCGATGGTGGAGATCAGGTCCGGCTGTGGGGACAGAGCCCAGTTAGTGCCCACGGACCCCACACAGCCCCCACATCCCCAGCATGGTGCACTCTTTAGAGTTCACCATGGGGTCATGGAGGCAAGACCCATCCCTGCTCCAGGCCACAGGGAGAGGGGACTGTCCCAGCTCCTTGGGGACAAGGCTTCCCAAGATTGCCCTCCTCCTTGGGGGCTAAACCAGCACAGTGCTGGGGCTGTGGGCCCATGTACCCCAGGGTCCCAGCTGCCAGGACCCAGGAGTCCTGTGGCACCTCCCAGGCACTTCCCTGGTGATGGTGACCATTGGTGCCAGTCCTGCTGCCAGACACCTTGCCCATAACAGGGGTGGTTTGTGGCACCCCGTCGTCCACCCACAGAGTGGCTGAGCTGAGGGTCCCCACACTGTGACCCCTCCCCCCCTTGGAGGGAGGAAGGCAGGGCTGGGCACCCCTCCTGCTGCCTGGTGCCAAAAGGTGCTGCTCCCCATCCCACAGAGAGACAACCAAACCACAGGGTGCTGCTAGCACCGTGAAGGTGCACACCAGCCTCCAGAGCCACCCTGCTCCAGGGGAGCAAGATGGGACATGGGCAGAGGGATCACCTCGGCTGACCCCAGAGCCTAGGTACCCGGGGCTTGGGACGAGGGTGTCCCGGTGGCACAGCCCTACCTGGCTGAGCACGTCCAGCTTGCGGATGTAGGTGGGTCGGGTGTAGACAAAGACGGGCAAGGAGTAGCCATCATGGTGCTGCTGCGAGATGCGCATGGCCTCCATCACCCGTGCCCGCACGAACTTGCGGCTGGTAGGGGGGGAAGGTGGAGGCCAGGAGAAAGTCAAGGTAGATGGAGGGGTAGAGGGCCATGCTCTCCCTCCAGAGCCATGCCAGCTGGTCATTGCGCGTCTTCTCCACGTCTGGGCACTGCCCAGTGTAGGTCTCCTTGTTCTTGCTGTAGTCATGGTTGTAGCAGTCGGGGAAGAGGTAGAACCCCCAGAGCTGCTTGGGTCGGAAGCTCTTGGCCATGCGAAGAGTGCTCACCATGAACTGCCGGGCGGCTGACTCGAACTCGAACACCGCCTGCTTGTTCACCTCCTCACGGGACCAGGTGGGTTGTCGCTTGAACACCAGCTGCTGCGATACCTCCCGGTAAACATCCTTGGGCCTCCAGTTGCGAGCCCAGATGGGCCGAGGGGGGCCCGCCCCTCCTCCCAGTCAATGACAGCCAGCCCCTCCTTGGTGGGCGAGCGGATGTACTTGCTGATGCCATCCTGGAGGCAGGTGAGGTGCTCGGACAGGCTGCTGTTTTGGGGGACGCCGCCGTTGATGGCCACACCTTGGCGTGTGTAGTAGGGGTAGAGCCCCAGGCGCTCCTTGTAGAAGATGGTGAGGTTCTGCCCCACGAAGCCCTCATTGGGGGAGGCGTGCAGGTCAAAGATGTGGGCGAGCGGATGTACTTGCTGATGCCATCCTGGAGGCAGGTGAGGTGCTCGGACAGGCTGCTGTTTTGGGGGACGCCGCCGTTGATGGCCACACCTTGGCGTGTGTAGTAGGGGTAGAGCCCCAGGCGCTCCTTGTAGAAGATGGTGAGGTTCTGCCCCACGAAGCCCTCATTGGGGGAGGCGTGCAGGTCAAAGATGCTGAAGTCGAGGGTCACCTGGAAGCGGGGCTTGCAGTCCTGGGTGGGCACGTTCCAGGCGACCAGGAAGGGCCGGCGGGTCAGCAGGGGGGCAGCCGA